ATCAATTTGCTCAAATACTTCAGGAAGCTCTAACAAAGCAACGTGAAGAAATTAGAGCTGAGATGAAGACAGAGATAGAGTTAGCTATTCAACAAATGAGAGAGTTGCTAACTCAACAACCTCAACCTCCTGAGTCCAGTCAGCGAGCTGAATCCAGCCGCCACACTCAGAATGGTATAGATGACAGTGATCCAGAAGTGGATGAAGTCATTATGGCTGATACACCTCCCAATGACAATAACACTGGGGGTGGTTCAACAGATCCTCCCAATAATAACATTGGGGGTGGTTCAATTGAACCGTTTAGTAACACTGGGGGTGGCCCAATTATTTCTGCTCGACATCACTCAGATAGAGATGAAGATGAGGACAAGAAAATGCAAGAGCTTGAAAACAAAATCAACGCTTTGATGACGGCTCAAGAAGTGAAAAAGACGGGTATTCAATGTCCCTATCCAAGAGAATGGGATTCAATACCGTACCCGTCAAAATTCAATCTGATTAACTTCACACCGTTTGACGGGAAAAGCTCGCCTACTCAGCACTTGATTTATTTCAAGTCTCATTTGGGCATGATCTCTGGAAACGAGGCTTTAATGGTCCGGTCATTCGTTGGCACCCTTCGTCGACATCTCAAGCCAGGGAGCATCAATTGCTGGGATGACATGGAAAGTTTGTTCCTCAGCAATTTCTTCAATGATGACACCGAAGTGTCAATCGGGACTCTTCTGGATGAGAAGCAGAAAGACGGAGAGTCAGTCGATAATTTTGTCAAACGCTTCCGTAACAAGGCAATGAATTGCAGAGATCCTATTACAGAGGAGTTCATCCTGCAAACATGCCACAATAATCTCTCTATCGATGTCCCGGAAGCCCTAGGGGTCGTACCATCCAAAACTTGGAAAGATTTGAAAATGCGCGGTGAACAAGCTGAACACTTTCTTAAAAGAAAGAAAGTTGAGAGAAACCAACCGACGACATCTATAATTGCTGTGAACGCGACTCTCGATCCGAGGTTCCAAAAGGAGTATTCTTTCAAAGATGATGAAGCTCCAACCATATTGGAATACCTCCTAGCCAATGATAAAATTGAGCTGCCACCTATTAAAGATCAGGAGGGGGTTAAAATGATTACAGATCCAAACTACTGTGCATACCACAGAAGGGTTCTTCATCCCACTAATATTTGCTTTGGACTCAAAAATAAAATCCAAGCCTTAATTGACTCCGGCGTCATAATGGCAAAACAAGCCGATTAAAGACGACCTTACTCCATTGGATACACGAGTATAAACTGTTTTCCTTGACTCCGATGAGTATACGAGTATAAACTGCTTCTTCACGCCACTCCGAAGAGTATACGAGTATAAACTGCTCCTCGATACTCCAACAAGTATATGAGTTTAAACTATTTCCTTTCTTTCACGGGAAGTTCCTGGAGAATGCCATGCATGGTACTTTTAAGGATAACCCGATCATACAGCTAAACATGATGATAAACCTAGCTTCGCAAGAAAAGCTGGGGGTGGATGGTTCATGTAACGGGAAGTTCTCGGAAGAATGCTATATGTAATTTTCTTAGGGATAACCCGATCATTACAAACAAAGTGATAAACACTACATCCCCACGATGATTTTCGAATACTCTTTTGCTGAGATGAGATTCGATCACTTCTTTAGATCAATCTTCCCTCACAAAACCCTTATTTGGTCAAACCTTTAAATAGTTAGGACCAAAACCAAAATCCCCTCTCGATTCGTTCCATGAATGAGAGGTCCTCAAACCTTTAAACAGTCAGGATCGCCTCAAAACTCCCATTTGGTCAAACCTTAACCAAAATCCCCTTTCGATTCATTTCATGAACGAGAGGTCTACTTTTGAATTGAATAATCAAACCCTATGACAGTTATTGTTCAAACCAATTCAGATTCTCTAAGTGGAGATCCCACTTCGAGTTTCCTTTGCACTGGGAGATAGAATATAAAATTCTTCCTCTCCGATTTTGGGTTTATCTCTACCAACAAACAAGAGACCAGGAGATAGAATATAAAATTCTTCCTCTCCGATTTTGGGTTCATCTCTACCAACAAACAAGAGACCAGGAGATAGAATATAAAATTCTTCCTCTCCATCATCGGGTTCATCTCTACCAACAAAAAAGAGACCATGTTACTCCAATAGGTACACGAGTCTAAACTGTTTCCCTACGATCAACAGGAAGTTTCTGGAGAATATCATTCAAAATATTCTTAAGAATAACCTGGCTACCTCCCAACGGGTATACGAGGTTAAACTATTTCCCGAGAACTCCAAAAAAATACATGAGTATAAACTGTGTTCCTACGAAGACTGATACAGTGATTAACAATACGGTATCAATTTGATGACAAAAGCTGAATTCACAAGTACAAATTTCAGCTTCAATTCAAGATCTCGACGACGGTCAAGCGATGAACGCCATGCCGAAAGGACCTTAGCTATTCTACAAAGCACTGAATAGACTGAGAGACAAAGAGATCAAGTGTTGAAGCCATCTACAGGTTCTTCTATACGATCTACCCAACCAAGCATTGAAAGGATCATAAGTAAGACCTATCTTATCCAAAGCATCCCAGAACTCCTCTATAAAAGATTGAGTCTGGAATACTTTGGAGGGGGTATCTGTAGGCGTCAAAAAATGCTGAGAGATATCCAAACACAGCTCAAAAGGAAGTCATCCAAAATGTCAAAAAGAACACAAGTATAGACTGTCTCGCACGCGAGACAGTCTTTACTGCCTCGCACGCGAGACAGACTTGACTGTCTCGCCGTGCGAGACAGTCTTTACTGTCTCGCGGGCAAGACAGACTTTTACTGTCTCGCCCACGCGAGACAGTCTTTGCTGTCTCGCCGTGCGAGACAGAATTTACTGTCTCGCACGTGAGACAGCTCTCAGAGGGTCAAAACTACTTTGCATAACCGCCAACATGTGGCCACTAACTGTTCAAGAACGTGGGAAACGTCGTGGGCGAGAATCACGTGGATAACTGCCAAAATAACGGAGTTTGAAACGTGGAAAGGCAGTTACAGCGAAAACTGCCAGGAATATTCCTTTTCCGAGACAGTGTTTACTGTCTCGCGGGCCGAGACAACAAACACTGTCTCGGCAGCCGAGATAGGAAATGCTGTCTCGCAAGCTTGTTTTCTGCCAACTGTTCCTAGGGTCTATAAATACCCCCCGAAGGCTATTTTTTGGAGGGGCTGATCATTCTTGAGCACTTTGGAGCAGAGAGAGCATAGTTCCTGAGCTTCTGGCAATCCCTTGAGATTCGAGCTTTAACTTGATCTTAAGAAGAACGACTATCTTACTTTGATAAGATATCGTTTCAAATTCTCACTTCGATAAACGAAGGAAGAATCATTAAACCCCTCATCGATTCAATCAGAATCTGTGATTTGGTGGTCCACGAGTCAAAGCGCTCCCGGCACAGGCAAAGATCCCACGCAAGCAGCGATCCAAACAACGATCCTGCGTTTGTTTCTAAGAAGTTGTAATTTTTATTTTGTTATGTAAAAGAGGTCTTATAAAAAGACTATTTCTTTGAATTTATTGTAATCGATCGAAGATATAATGAATTCCACAGCAAGAGCAACTTTTGACGCAAACAATGATGTTTCTTCTTACAGCATTGAAGATCCCCTACATCCTCAACCCCAACCTACAGCCCATAGAAGATCCAAAACCAAGTGCAGACGGCAAATAACCTACTGAGGAGGAAATAGAAGAAATCAAAAAGCAGAAGGCAAAACGAGAGGAAGATGAAGTGTTGTGTCGCGGTCACATTCTGAACACAAAGTGTATAAGGAGCTTGCACACCGCTTTTCTTCTGCTCGCTTGCACGCAGCCGCAATTAAATCTCCTTGCACACAAAACCTAGGAAAGAATAAAGGTATATATATAGCTGAGTTGGGGAATTAAGTGGGCCGCATCTGGGCTTACTCTCTGTGATTTCCGCTTGATTGTGGCCCCACCCACAATCACGTTCTTAATTTAGTATGGTGCTTGATTTTAATCGCTACTATCAAAGTACTACATGGCATACGAAAAAGCAGGCAGCTCTTAGCCTCTATTCATATAAATAAAGAATTAAAGGTTACAGGTCAAGCTCATAAAAGTAATTCTCTTTCTTCTTATTTATTTATTTTAGTTTAATCTCTCTTATTAAAATTGGGAAAAACGTTCTGAGGTGTCATCTTAAATTCAATCTAATAATGCACCTCCTGACACATGGTCTAGACTATTTTAATAGGTTCTCCACTCTATTTATCATGATCTAAAATGCCTCGAAACATTTATAAAAAAAGAAAGATGTTTCAACACTTCTAACGCATATTTTTCGTTATCTCCTTTGTTATATTCTTGTAAAATCGTTAAGTTATAACTTAAAACCTCTTGATGCATGATTGACTATAATCCAAGATGTCAGATTTTTTTTTTCTTTATACCTTCTGAAACATATAGATAAAAAAATAAACGGAGTAGTTCAAGTCAATTGATTGCAAAAAAACTTAGTGTTAAAGGAGCATCCTTATCCTTAGATTGAATTTACGGTGACATATTAATGAACATTTTTCCCTTCAAAAGTTTAATATATCAATAATCACTCTTCCATGGAAGCTTCTCTGATTATCTTTCTCATCTTTTCAAATATGCTTTATTCTTCAATTATATTTTTTTAATCATATTTGAATCAATTTTGGTTTATGCACCAGACATAATCATAGTTAATTGGTATCTCCAGTGAATAAGCCCATCTTTTCATTCTTAACATAAATTACAGCAGTTAAAAAGGTTTTTTTTTCAAGTAACCTAATATTGTAATATTAGTTTCTAATACATTCTCAGAATATATTCAACATAAACAATTAGAAAGAAGAAAACAAGGATTGACGTGATCCCGTTGGAGTATCGTGTAAACCTAGTAATTTATCAATGAAAATTTGAGGTACGGATATTAAATTCACCAAATAATAATAATGGAATAATCGAAAACATCCGTAAACAATTCTTATTTCCCACAAAACTTGTGCAACATAAAGACTTGAACAACGTTAATTACTCAACGAATCCATCGCAATCTACAAATTAAAAAAAAAAAAAAAACCTCTTCTAATTAAAAGCAGCACAGTTGCGTCGAATATTCCCCTTGGCTCCAGTCCTAACTCCAATCCGGCCCACTTTAGTCATAGCGGAAATAAACGCATTCTCAAAGCCCTTTTGATTCTGGGCGTAAAAATTAACAGCAGGCCTCGATCTCTTGTCAGAGTATAAAACCTGGTCGGAGGTGAAAAGGCCCATCCCATTCTGGAGGTTTTTGAAGTATTGGTTGTCGAAGGTCCGAGGGGTGACGGGGTCCATGTTGATGGCGACCCTGGGGTCCACGTTCTTTGGGCACATGCCACGTAGCTGCTTCGCGTAGGTCTTGTTCATGGTGGGGTCCATCTTGTAGCGTGGGGGGAGGAAGTTGTAGACTCGTTTTGAGAATTTATCACAGTGGGAGAAGCCGAGACTGTGGGCAGCTGCAGCAGAACGAAAGAAATGAGAAAGAGGGAGATGGAGAGAGGAGGCCTGTTTGGCTATTTCCACAAAAAATTCGGAAATGGAAATATAGCTCTTGAAATGAATTCAAGACATTTCAAGACATTTCTTAGTTTTCATTTCTTTTGTTTGTTTCGCAAAGAAAAGGTTCATTTTCACTGCCAAGTCACACAAACAGACAAAAAAAGCCTCCATAGTAACAGTGCTTTGATTTCTATTTCTTGTGTTTGTTTGAGAACAAGAAAAAGGTAATGAGAAATGTGGCATTTAAATATTTCATTTTATTCTTTTGAACTATTCAAACAGTGCTTTTATTAATTAACTATTCTCAGATGGGACATTTCCAAGTGTTTTCAGCCAAATTTGGGCTGAAAACACATTTCTTGAAAAATTGAGGTGGCAACACATGTGGCACTTCATTTCTTAAAAATTAAAGACGAAGCAAACACATGAAATGGAAACCTCTTGAAATCAAAAACCTATGTGGCACATGGGGGTTTTCTTGAAAGGTGAGGTGGCGGGACATTTCTCATTTTTTTGAGCAAAACAAACAGGCCATAAAAGAGAAAAAATAGTATAAATAAGAGGGGCCCATTTACAATAGTGCGAATAACCCGAAGATAGAGAGAGAGAGAGAGGAGAGGTAGTGAAAGAAGCTAGCGAGTGAGAACTTTCTAAATCATTTACAAAATTGTCATGAGTTTTCAAAAGTATTGAAGCTAGACCTCCTGTTAAACTACTGTGACCCATCAGATGTATAATGTATTCATTGGTTTAGACTTTGGAATGACTCCCAACTTAACAATGGATTAAATATTAGTTATGATTTATGCTATTATGTCTTCACCTTGCTGTCTACTTGTCAGAACTATATGCCTTATTAACTATTCTATACAAATTTATTTTAACTATTTATGTCCGTTCGTTACAGAACCTCGTGCTATTTGCTTAGGGGTCTCCAGCCGGGCCCGGACATGGCCTGGAAATCCGGGCCTATCCGGGCTCCGAGCCCGGGCTTGGTCCGTCTCATTGGTGCCCCCGGCCACAACGGTCACATTCGTGACCGTTGGTCGGGCAGCCTGGGCCAACCCGGTTCGAACGGTCATAACGGCCATATTTATGATTTTGACCAAAATACCCCCAAAAAAGTTAAAACGGTCAAATTTTGAGGGTATTTTGGTCATTTGGCTAGGGGTCTGCCTCTATAAATAGAGAGAGTTTTTATTTATTTTTCTCATCCAAAACCCATCTACTTCTCTCTAATATTTTCTTATTTTCGCTTTTGCTCTCTAATTCTTCAATCAAATGACTTCCTCATCTGATTATGAATAGCAAATCCCAACTCCCGATGTTGAAACGAGTCCTAATACTCATACTACAGGAGCTACAGTTAATCCTCCTACCGATGTTGATCACAAATCCGGTGGCGATGATTCTGCACCTAGAGCTCCTAAAAGGCCGAGATCTGATATGTAGAACCTCTTCGAGAAGATAGAAGTCACCGGGGATCAACACGATAATTTTCTCACCCAGAAGGCTAAGTGTGCGTTGTGCAACCATGTTTTCTAAGCTCATCATAAAAGCGGTTCCAACCACCTCAAACGCCATTTAGAAAAGCACAACAGAGGTCAGACAACGCCTCAATTAATGTGATATCCGACAATCTTTACTCTCCTAATCCCCATCCTCCGGTATTCTCAGTAGTTGAAACCATTACGCATTTAGAGCCAGAAAATGCATCATCAGGTTTATTATTCTTAAAAAATTTTCTTTTAAATTAGTAGAATGTGATGAATTTAAAGATATGATTACAGATGGTTTTTATCCCGTATTTAAAAATTTTTCTCGTCAATCTTGTCAACGTGGTATTTTAAAATATTATTACGAGGAACAAGCAAAAATAATTTTTTATTTTTAAAGTTTAAACGGTAATTTTTTTTTAACTTCTGATATTTTGGCGTACATCTAAAGCACAAACTTGTTATTTATGTATCACAACATACTGAATTGATGATAATTGGCAAATGTTTAATAGAGTTATTTTTTATTGCATTTAAAGATTCAAATAATATGATATTAATATTGTAAATTTAATAATATAAGAACTTATAAAATTAGAAAAGAGTCTTCACTAACTTCCACGATTTGTTGTTGTTACTCTAGTTAATCAAACCACGAAAAGAGTCTTCACTTTTGAAATTAGAAAATACTCTTCCAAAATATATGCCCCCGCCCCCAACCCCCCCTCAAAAAATTTTTTTTTTAATTCGAAGGGTGAAGAAAAATCAAAGGGCATAGTGTAATATTGAAAGATGGAGATATGGGGAATGGTACGTAGCTAGTCCCAGCTCAAAGGGGGAGCACCGACACTCAATCCAGTTTGTCATCTCTCTAACAAGTTAAAGGCTAAAGATAAAGCATTTGTGAGCACCCAATGACACAAATCTAAAGTGCTTTCTAACATGGCCTCTAACTAATTACTTTCAATATTGTATGCCCTCAAAAAGAACCTTACGCATTTTGCAACCAAATTCTCACGTTGGTAACTTTTGCCATATTAAACGTTCTTTTCTGAATGTTGTAAAGAAAATCTTATTTGAGGAATTGCGGATTCGTATGCTCCGACTAATCTTGGTTGGTATATCGCTAACACGGCAACTGGTTGTTGTCCGGATCTGACAAATCATTGTAATAATCTTAACGCGTATTATGTCTGCAAGCGAACGAACCAAGGCTGGGAGACACTACGTACCTCCCATTTACTCATTTCATTTCTAAATATTATTGGCTTATTATTGACTAATATTAATAAATGAATTATCTGCCTAGGTGACTATCTACAAACTCTAGGTTAAATTTAAGGGGAAATATCACCGTGTAGTTTTTACCTCATGATGATGATAGTGAAAATGAACTGAAAATATCCGTGATTGATGTTTATTTAATTAGAAGCATTCGAAAATCATGATTTCTTCATGAAATTAATCTAAACTCTAGTAGAACAAAAGGTTTATCAATTCAAGAATACATATACGACAGAAAAAAATGTCACTTCTACTAGACCCTACGCATCCCTTCCTCGTTGAAAAGAGAGGGAAAAGTACAGTAGTCCACAGTATTTGCACCAAACAAGTTAGACAAACTCGTGAATCGAACTCCATTATTTATGCATCTCTTAATTAATTAGACCACCACATGATTAGTTCAAGTAAGTCAATTAATTAGCTGGTATATTAATTGCGTACCTGAGGGATAGGATAAGATTAACTAAACCAGTTACCTGAGAGGGCAATCATGTCATTTCGGGTGAGACCACGTTTAGCAAACAAGGAGGTGAGCTTGTTCAAATTGTGATCCGGCTCGGGCAGGTTCCCATTCACGCTCGCTAAAGTCGAGCTCAGTCCATCTAATCTCCCCAATTCCACAGCATAAGATGGTCCGCCGGCCTATTTTAGCACACAAACACCATCCGAATTGTTATTTACTTAAATGTATTAATAAAATTAAAGTACCGTTGCAGCCCGATGACGAACTCTCTTTTTCCGGTATGTAAGATCCGAGGTTCACTGACTTTTTTCCCCCCATTAATTTAAAAATAATAAATTACATACAAACCGTAACCCTTCCGTTGATATATTAACTAATTGCAAATTAATTGGAGGAGTAAATACCAGGGCTACGACGTCTCTCGCAGCCATTGCCACCAGGATATCGGCGCACGACACCTTATTCCGGCACCGCGGCACAGCATCCACGGCGGCCTTCGCTTTGATAACCGTGTCGAAGCCGTCTCCGGCGAGCGAGAGATTATCTGGGTGGTCCTTCTCGGCTTTGTTATTACCGGAGGATGCTACGATGATTGAAGCATCACATCCCTACAAAGATGAACCAAAACTTAATTAGAATGAGAATTTCCTTCTCGAGTGAAATATAAATTTTTCAAAAATAAAAATTGTCGTAATGCCTGAATGAAACAATCGTGGAAGAAGAGGCGGAGGGTGGCGGGTGCGGTGACAAATGTTTGCTGGAATTTTTTGGTGACGGCGTTCCTTACGATGTTTTCGACGTTCGGGCAGATGTTAGCGTAGTAATTTCGCCGGAGTTGAGCACTATGCCATTTGAGGAAGTAGACATAGATTTACTAGGGTGAAAATGAAGTAGCCACTCTAAATAAAGCTCCCATGTTTCATTAATTAGACGCAGAGAGAGGAGGATAGGGGGGGGGGGGGGGGGTGTTGAAGATTAATGGTGTGGAACTGAGCTTTTAGGAGAAGGGAATATATAAGGGTGGAGGTCACTAGATAATTGTTGAGCCAGTTGTCTTTGGGAATCTTCATAAAATAATTAAGGTTCAAAGACAATAAATCACAATTTGTGCTCGCAATGGACGACTAAATTCTAAAGGGTGTGTTCGGCAAAATCCTCTTTAACGGGGAAAAGAAATAAATTTGACTAGAATTGGCCAGGTTTTTGTCAGACACAAGTTCAGCTCTTTAACTTGGATCCACTAAACTAGTTAAAAAGGAAGCGTTGCCAAACACATCTTAATTGGCTCAAGTCAATACACCGCTGTAGACTTGCCTCAAACTAAGATCCTGTTTGGATTGAGGGTAATGGGGGTGAGGGGAAGGGGGTAACTTTTAACCTTATTTGGGAAGTAAATATAGCAAGTTAATAGGGGTGAGGGGAGGTGAAAGGATGTGAGAAAATACCATGATTTCTTCCCCCAATTTGGGTAAATGATTTTTTATGCATAAATAGGTACGATAAAATGTTTAACAGGCTAGTTAAAAGAGGAAGAGTTGCCAAACACAATCTAAGCTCAAGTTAATACACCGCTATAGACTTGCCTCAAACTAAATGGTTTTTTTATGCATAAATAGGTACGATAAAGTGTTTAACGGGCTTTTGTGAAGTATGCTTCGTATGTGGAAAAAAATATATACATGCAAATGTTGCGCGCCTTGCGGAATCATGCTCGCACACCAAACGAGTCCGTAAGTCACGAGAGAAGAAAACCAAATCAAATACAAGTGCAATCCATCAAAATACGACACAAATCAAACCAAACACAGGCTAGGAATTTACGTGGTTTGGCAATTGCCTACGTCCACGGGGAGAGGATGGAGAGATTTCACTATATGGAGGAAAAATACAACGGGTTACAACTCACAAAATCACTCAAATATAACCCTAACCAAAATTTTCAACTCCCTCACAATATCTCCCTCTCAAAGTGCTCAAAAGTCTGCCAATTCTCTCCTCAAGAAACCCTAAAAACGTGTTTCACTTTATATCAAAACACAAACCAAAACCAACTGTGAAAACCGAACTGGCCCATTTACCCTCTACGTAGTCGACCGGACATGTGCTCGCGGTCGACCAGCCACAAACAAGATTCAAACACTGTAATCATGCACGTTTTTGGTTGACCGCTATAATCGTTCGGTCGACCGACCAGATTTTCGGTCGACCGGTTGAACTCGTTCGGTCGACCGACCAGAATAGGGTTTCAGACCCTATAATTCTACAGTCTATCGGTCGACCGAGCCTATGCCGTTGGTCGACCGATCCTATGCCGTTGGTCGACCGACCCGTAGCCACACCTGTGCACTTCAAATTTCATGTTCTTCTTCGCCGTTTTTTTAATTCTCCACCTCGGCAAAGTTTTCCCAAAACCGAGCCGACACCAAACATGAGCACCACTGTGTCGTCTCACCAAATCCGGCTGCATCAATGTGGTTGCCTACGTACCCCCTCTCCTAAGAGATCAAGCCGCCCGTAGTTCACCTAAATGGTCGCGAACAACCTCAACAATCACAAATTTGTAACAAGTTTCTACAATGATCAAACTTGTTGCTCGAAACCACCTTTGTGAGCATATCCGCTGGATTATCTTTTGTGTGGACCTTCACGAGCTCCACATCTCCATCTTCAAGAACATCCCGAATGAAGTGATAACAAACGTTGATATGCTTCGTCCTCGTATGAAAGACCTGATTCTTCGCCAAATAGATAACACTCATGCTATCACAATAAATGGTAATGGATCGCTATGAAACACCAAGACCCTCCAAAAGTCCTCGAAGCCAAATCGCCTCCTTAACAAAATCCGTAATCACCATATACTCTGCCTCCGTCATCAATAAAGTCATCGTAGATTGCAAGGTGCATCTCCAACACACCGACGCACGGGTCAAAGTAAACACATATCTGTTGGCCTTCTTGTTTTGATGATGATTTACAAACAATTTATATCTAATATTGTTTGTTTAGTGTTTGTGTTTTATATTTATTCTAGGCAAACAATATGTTGGAGGATGGATGGAATTGCGCATTCACGATCATATCCAATGGAGGTTGGTGGAATAGTGAAGTGAAGCCTACGTAATTCAAAGTTAAAGATCAAGTTCAAGCTTCATCCGCAAGTGTACCAAGTCGAGCTTATTGAAGATCAAGATCTAGCTTGGGTAACTTAGTTTAGGTTTTATATTATGTGTGTTAAGTACCTTAAGCTCAATATCATATACACACATGTATTTGGTTTCTATGTATATATATAGTTATATATATACATGCATGGTTTTGGGTTTTCATGTTTACAAATATGAAATTACATATTTCATATTTATTATTGTGATTTGGTTTAACTACTTAGATATGAAAAAAATATATTTTCATATATATACTCATATGTTTTATTTTCTATTGTATTTGTAAAAATATTGTATTATTAGTTTTTGGACTTAACAATAATCATATACATATTTTATTAAGTCTACATAATCATTGTGCAAAGTTTCAAAACATGGTTTAGCCAAAATATCAAACTTCATATGTTTACATTTTTATGTTTTGGCCTATTTTGTAAAATGATGATATTTTTCTTTTGGGAAGTCCTTTTTAGAAACTAGTCATTGTAGCATATTTATTATCATGTCTACAATCATTCCCCAAAGTTTTATATTTTTTGGAATTTATTTGATATTTTTAAACAGTGTTTTAAAATCAGCAAACTGTTTTTTCAAACCTGGAATTTCATATATCAGTTCACGGTCGACCGCGCCTAAGTTCTTTCATCAGTGGGCAGCAGAGACTTTCACGGTCGACCGCCGCGGTCGACCGTGAGCTCGAGATTTCCCACGGTCGACCGCCACAGTTGATCGCCACGGTCGACCGTCGAACTCTCTGGAGTCGGCCGCGGTCGCCCGCCGTTTATCCCAACGGCTCTTTTGGTACAGAATCAGATTTTTAATTCTTGGGCTGTTTGGTCTTTTCCCTTGGGGTTTTTGCTGTTGTTTCCACTTCCTATATAAACCCCCAAACCCTTTTCTATCTCAGTAATCCAAGAAGTTTTTAAACAAGTTTTAAACAAGGGTTTAAGTTTGTTTAAAAGAGTTATTGTTTGGGAAAAAGTTTTACACAAGTGGAGGAGATCATCTACATTGTTTGAGCTTCGTCTTAATCCATCTCTCCAACTTATTTTTCAGAAAAGCATTTCTAAACTCTTATCTAGCTTTACATTTGCATATTTATTTGATTATCATTTTATTAAAGCTAGTTTTGTATTGAGTTTAGATTTGATTTACTTCTTTGTTATACACGCCCACATTGAGCTTTTTGTATTTACATACATAGTATATTAGGGTTGTGAGAGATTGTAACATTGAGTTGTTACATAGTATATTAGGGTTGTGAGAGATTGTAACATTGAGTTGTGCTTAATTGAGTTCTCGCCTTGTATGAGAGAACAAACCATTTATTGTTACATTGAGAATGTTGTAAGGTTTTCGGTGAGCTAGAAAACCGAGTGTGTTGTTGTGAAGTTTTCGGTGAACTAGAAAACCGAGTGTGAGGAGTGGACGTTGATCGGTGAACGTTGAAAACCGACATTGTGAGTGAGTGTATACGTTGATCGGTGATCGTTGAAAACCGACATAGTGTGGTTATAAACGTTATTCGGGTGAGCATAGAAAACCCGGTCATGATAGTGGGTTTCTCCCCGGGAGTGGGGAGCGGAGACGTAGGACGGAAGATCCGAACTCCGTGATCATATTGCTTATTTGAGTTTAGCTTAGCACACATATATTTGTTCATCTTTATAGCCTTTCTCTCATTGTTTATTTCATCCACTATATCATTTGTTTATGTTACCCTTGTGTTTGCATATCCTTACATATATCATATAGTATACCTCTTTGCTAGGATATATCGTTACCCTTGTGTTTGCATATCCTTACATATATCATATAGTATACCTCTTTGCTAGGATATATCACCTTTTGTATATTGTATATTCTTACACTTAACTCTTTGTATATCTATCTTGCAAGAATATATTTGTTAATTAGTTTTAATTAGTATAAAATCAGATTAGATTAGCATAAGACCCTAATCCCCCCTCTAGGGTCTAACAATATCCCATAGTAGACCGGCGTTTATCCAAATCTCCAGCGTAATCTGAATCTACGTATCCAATACATAGCTGTCCACCACTAGTGTCTCGTTCAAAAACCAAACCAATATTGAGAGTATCTCGAATATACCTCAAAATTCATCTCATAGCATCCTAATGACCTGGACCTGGGTCATGCATGTATCTCGAAACCATGCTCACTGCCTATGATAAATCCGGCCTCGTACAAACCATAGCGTACATTAAACTTTCAACTACGCTCGCATATAGAGTCTTCGACATTAACTCTCAATCTTTAATTATCTTCGATGAAAGATCAGCTGAAAGCTTTAAATGGGCTCCCAATGGTACACTAACTGACTTCGTTTCTATGCTCACATTGAACCGTTGTGGAACCTTCTTTAAATAAGCCACATGTATCAAACTAATTCTACCATTGTCTCTGTATTTATCGATTTTCATTCCTAAAATACGCTTAGCTTCACCCAAATCCTTCATCTCGAACTCGCTCGAAAGCTGAATCTTCAATCTATCTATCGCGGATCTAGAAGTAGAAGCAACCAACATATCATCAATATAAAATAATAAGTAAATGTATACACCTCCATTCAACTTGTGATAGTACATGTAAGGATCAAATTGGCTCCTAATGTATGAATGACTGATCATGAACCCATCAAATCGCTTATACCACTATCGAGGAGATTATTTCAGCCCATATA